ATCATAATGCTACTGTTCCTCCTATTGGGACAGCTGATGCCTGTCACAGGTCGAGGATTTGCCAACAAACATATCAAAGTGTCTCATCTAATCATGCGTCAGGCAAAAGGTCTCATCTTACTTTTTTTTTTTCCATCTGTCAACCCCTCTTCTGTTTTATTCAGTTGAGTTCCAATCACTGGTCTGCTGATCATTTACAGATCATCAGTCATCCCTTTAAAATGTACCCTAAAACTGTTCATCTAAATACTGTATATGATTTCACTCATTCACAAACCCATTCTGCCATTTTTAAGAACAATTAAGCCAAAATATGGGGATGACAATGCAGGAGTTCAGTGGTTGGGTTGCATGTTATCTATAAATTGGGCCAGGAAGGGTTATTTTTAACCCCTGTTCGCATACCGGGGGCCCCGTTTGCTAATCACTTTGTTCCCCACCTGCTCCGTTGCCAATGTCCCACTGCTTCTGGGGAGGTCACCAAATAGTTTTCTTGGCAGGAGTTAATATTTTCCCTCTGGACAGCAGGTAGGAGTTATACCGACTCACCCCAGAGCAGTGTCTTCAGCAGTAGTAAGCATGGATTTCTATTGGTATAAATAAACTGGCAGCTGAGACCAAACCAGGACCTGCACATGCACAAGAAGGGACAACCTCACAGATTATTTTGGAGGAAGCTCTTGACAGCAGAGTTAACCTTAGCAACCATTTAAAAAGTAGTTAAATTTCATATTATTCACAAAAATTTCACTTGTTTGATTAGATGTATGTTCTAGGATAATCTGTGACAAGAGTGTAAAATATGTTGTGATGTGCCAGAGAATGGGTTTATGTTCATAAATAAAATGCAAAGCAGGTTTTAACACTTAAAAATGTGTGAAAGATAATGTACAAGACATAATATCTTCTTATTGTTCTTATAAACCACAGAAGACAGAAATATGCAGTGTGCGAGAGAAAAATTCCACAATATAACAAAGAAATGTGACATTTTTGAAGCGAAACAGATTAATAATGCTTCAAAATCACACCAAGAAGTAAAAGTGAGCTGCTTGATCCCAACAAAGATAAAACAGATCACATTGTACTATGCTGCTGACTCATTACATGGTCTGACATGAATGCCACTCTGTCCTTCTCTGGGTACACCAGTTGCCAGGGCTGAGGTTGACACAGCTGTTGTGTGGAGCCTGGTCCCGTGTGGTGAAGCAAAGGAGCAGAAAGGTCAAAGGTCACCTGCATTCAGGCTAAAAGAGAGAACAGGTGATGGAGAGGTGAAGGCAACTTGCTCTTGTGATTCACAGGCAGACGCGTGGAGGTAAATACATTTAGGAATGAAGACTTGCAACAAGTTTGGGTTATGAGAAAGTGACAGTCTTAGAGTGAAGGGTTTTAGGTGTCTGATTACAGTATAACAAATAATAAAACAAACCTGGTGAAGACTTGTTGTTAAACAGGAAGTGGCCACCCTAAATGGTCCTGTTGTAATAGTCAGGTGGCATGTGAGAGGCCGGGTGACAGGTGAACTGCAGTGTGGTGGATGCATGTCAAAGCTGACTATATATGTATATATTACTACATATGCTATCGTTGTTACTGTGGAAACCTCATTGTGACCTAGCATGACAGGATGATTCAAGGGTCATAATAAAAACCAAGTTAATTTGCTCTCAATTGCAATAATACTGAAAAATCTTATACAGAAAAAAACTGCCTCTATTTACAATTGTACTGTAGAATCATTTTAATATATTCAAGATTTTTATTTGCCATTTATGCATAAACAGACAGTCTAGGCATATAGGAATTCTTGTGCAGGGCTCTCTTGGAGTCAACTAAAGAGCTAAAAGCCAGAAAAAGAAGAACACCTAGTCTAAAAATAAATGTACATAAGAATAAAATAGTAAATAAAATCAGAAATACAAAAATAAAATAATAAATAAAATGGTGAATTTCAAATTTACTATAAATAGATATTTACATACAGGTAGAAGGGATGCAAACAATCTAAAATCCCTGTATCTTAGTAGTGCAGCATAACATATCAATATAAAGATGAATACAATAGGTATAAATTGTTGTAACAACCTTTTTTTGCAGTGTGGCAGAAATATATTTTTATGCAAGCAGTATTTCAAATTGGTAGTGATTCATTGCTGCAGTTTGCCTGTCAAATCTACTTCTGAGGACTGAAAAGAGTGGTCAACTGGAACTGTTTCACCGCATCAGATCACATAATGCTTTACTTTACCAGTCTGTAATATCCTAATCATGTCCTAGGAAGTTTCCTAGTTATCACACCAACAAACTCATAAGCCTTCTTTGATACTATAACTGTTTTTATACACTTCCTGGCCTTGTTTGTCACTTATGTTCATGAAGGAACAGTTGCATTAATATTATGCTGATGACTAAATGTTTTACTCTTTCTGCCATTTCAAAGTAAGTTGACGCAAACCTTTGCACTCAAGTATATCATATAGTAAATATGTTTGTTACAGTTCTATGTGACAAAACCCCAATTTTACTCTTAACCTCCTACATTTCCCTGCCATCACATGAAAACCTTTTTTCTGATGCTATGTGGAACATCTATTCATATGATTCTTTCTTGTTGCTCTAGGTGGAAGAATGAATGTGGAGAAGCTTATGGACAACCAGGAGCCTGTGGGGGTTTTCAGTCAGCTGCCTAACGTCAACCAAAAGGGAATGACAACTGCAGAATAGCCAGCATCAACAGCGACAGCAACAGCAGTAGCAGCAGCAGCAGAAGCGAAGGCGACAATGTGATACAACAGAGATGAGGTTTATGGTGGGCAGACTGTTGGGGCACTGGCTGAATCAGCCGCCCAGCTGAGGATGGTTAAAGCAGGAGTCAGCGGTGATCAACAGCAGTCTCTGTTCTCTCCAACTTGTCTGCTGCTGCTTGTTCTTTTTAGGAACATGTCTATTTGAGTTCCCAGGCAAATTGTCACATTGATGTTGTTGTCATAATATCTGAGGTTGTTCACTTTTTGCCACATTAAAAAACTTTAACATTCTCGGGACACCCTGATGACATAAGAATTTAATTCACCAAACATCAACTGCAACATGCATAGATTGAGTTCTGCTGGGGTTGCTTGTTGCATACTGTTGCACACAAGTGCCGTTTCCTGACAACTCTTACTGTCAAGGGATAAAACGCTCCACTAAAATACCAGGATGCGCATCCACGGGGTTGGAGATATTGACCATGTAGTGACAACACCTCTTGTTAGAGTCTAACTAGGATATCTCTCCCCTCTTATTTTATCCCAGTGTTCCATATAATTAGGGCAAAAAATACCTCAGTTACTGGTAGTTATTTTGCCCACAGCACCCTACCATAACTGTCTGTGTTGATGAGTCAGACCCATTTGTAAGGTGAAACACAGCACTGCTACCTGGCATTTAACTAACATGACTACAATTTAAGATCCGACTTGATTACTGTAAATCTTGTCATTTGATGTTCTTGTTGTTGTCTCCTGCCTTTGCTACATCTCTTTAGTCAACTCTGTGGGTTTGGAGAAGACAATGGCCCGCTGTTTGAAGCACTCAGCGAGTAACTGTGGTCTCAGTCTTAAGGATCATCTTTTGTTGACTTTGATCAATCATGTACAGCAGCTGGTTTACATCAGTACAAGCTAAGTATTATAAAATGAAATGTTCAGTAATCATGTACAACATTTCATATTTAACAGAAGCTTCTTGACAAACCATCACCTTCACATTTCTCTTGCTTGTTATATGGTCATTTGGGCCATCAACTGATACATGAATAAGTGTATAATATATCTTACAAAACTAAAAGTGTATTGATTTTTATGCTATATCTTTATAAAGAGCTCCATTCAACCCTTGACTGGCCCAACACCTCCACTCGTCCTCTCAAGGGGGGTAACAGCTGTGCCATCACCCTCAAGTCACATGACATAGGCAGGTGGGAGAAACCTATGTGAGACAGCCCCCCCTTTTTCTTCTCTAATATTCTCTCTGAATGTCAAACCCCTCACAATCTCTGCTCTTCAAGGGTGTGGCCATGTTGTATTGCTGGAATGTGCTCTGCATTTGTAACTCATACTGTATGTCTGATCTCCCACATTGATGAAATACCATAGTCGAATCTCTCTCTCTCTCTCTCTCTCTCTCGCTCCAGTCCCTGCTTGTAGCTGCTGTCTCTCCCCAGAGACTGTCACTTAGTAGAGAAAGCATCCATTCATGAATGGCCGTCATATAATATACCACTATGTCTGTGTTTTATAAATTTTGTGAGACCAGTTTACTTGCCCCTCTGACACTGGAAATATTTTTACTTTAATGTATATATTTTGTAAAAATGACAAAAACCCATTAACTGACATATTCTGTACTGCATTCCAGTGAAAATGTCCAATGATATAAAATATAATATTAGGTGGAATTTGACATACACATTTATAGGCTACCTATGGTTGATTTAAATTATGTGAAGCCATTGGTGGTGTGTATGATAAATTTCCCTGGAAAAATATTTAATTCCAATGCCACAATTGAGAATAACTTACAAATTTAAAAGTTTTAAATCTGTGGTAAAGCATAATAGCACAGTGGGAAAACAAGTTCATAAACCATTGCATAGCAGGGCTAGAGTCATTTTGTGTTAATTGCAATAATGGAGGAAATTTTTTCCAACATGTTTTTCATTATAATTGTCAAAAGTTGCATGTACATTTTTTAAAACTAATGATAGCAGGACTGATACACCCTGCTGCAGTTCCCTTGTACAAGGGACTGAATCTCCTCTTTACCCCAACAGTGCTGCTCTGGAGTAACCTTGCTCTAGCCTACAGGGGGCAGCCAAAAAGAGAACTTAGTCACTTGTGTATTACTACAAAGTTGAAGCAATACTCGCATATACTGCAAAATGCTGTTTCTGATAAAAGATAAAAGTTCCATTTGGATGTTTAACCCGCGTCACTCTCGCAGTAGGAACCAAAAGGAGCAGGTTCAGTTTCTGAGGACGATATTTGTGAACGGACTTATTCGCTTTTCAGCGAATGAACACATTTTAACGTTAAAATCACTTTGATAATTCAGAAAGTGGTAACGTAATCAAAATTAAAATGACTTGTACGTGTAGACACGGAGTCGTGACTTGAGATTGACGATCGTCTGTTTGTTACAATATGGTGGCCGCGACGTTCTCCTCTTCAAACTGACCATAAAGTGGAAAGCCGTCATATCAAAGGTTAGTATCAATAACGTCTAATATATTTTAATTACACATGTGTAATCTCAGCTGCATTAGCAGGGACATAACGTTAAAATGCATCAGTGCTGAAAGAGGTCACGCCTTTTCTGTTTTTTTTTTCTACACTGCATAAAGTTAGCTTCTTTGGGTGATGCAGTTCTATAATGAACCTTTAAAGCTGCGTACCAGCTGCTACATTTCCGCTGTTGACAGTTTGATATTTGTTCTTCCTCAAGAGGAGACGATGTTGCTCACAGCTGGTCGCCTTTCCAGAGTGCTGCAGCTCACCCTGGCGGTCATCAAACCAGATGCTGTAGCTCATCCTCTGATGTTAGAGGTCAGCTCAAAAGAAAGTGCTATATTTTCTTACTTTTAACCATATTTTATGCCAGTTCCATTGTCCATGAATGTCCAAAAAACATTTTCCTGGAGAAAGAGCATCCTCTGTATGACATTACTAATGTATAGGTCAGCTCATACCACCTTCTCTTATTGACAATGCCCCCTTTTCCATTTACCTCTTTGGTAGAAATATACACACAGTATCCTGCATATACCTTTGATTCAACTAATTGACTGTTTGTGCCCTTCAGGCTCTTCACCAGACAATCCTCGACAACAACTTTGTCATTGTTAGATGCAAAGACCTTGTATGGCGAAGACAGGACTCGGAGAGATTTTACGCTGAACATTCAGGTGTGAACACAACTCATCTACGTTAATATGTATTAAAATGAACAACATTTTTCTTTGATTCTACCAAACATAGTGATTCCATCTGAGAAAAATGATTCAACAGCCTGTTTTAGAGGAGTGGATATGTTAAGACAAGTAATTCGTCCCGTACACTACTACTAGAGCAGTTACACACTGGGAGAAGAAAAAAATTTAATCAGTGTTTATTTGTATAGCATATTTCAACAACCCCCAGGCTGACCAAAGTGCTTAACAATCAATAAGGTAAGACAAAAATACAGGCTTACAAAACAGTACAGTACACTCAATCAACAATAAAACCACATAAACAGAATTAACTATGATATCACAGACTCTACTGGAGGTTTCAAAGCCAATTTGAATAAGTTTTTAAAGTACAGTTAAGAAATTGTCCTGAGTTTTAAAAAAAATCAATTAAAGTTGGAAAACTGTGGTAACTCACTTTTGTTTTGCTTCTTAGGTCGATTCTTCTATCAGAGACTTGTTGAATTCATGTCAAGGTAAGTCTTAATTCACACTGACATGATAAATGTACAAATCCCAAGTCACAACACAACTTAATTGTGTATCTGGATAGTTTTCTGTCTGATGCATTTGAAATGAAATATTAGGGAAATTTCTATACCACATAACCCACTGGCCTGATACAGACAAAGCTCCCCTCTGTTGATGGTGTAGCTGTTTCAAGCTCAACAATAAATCATCTTTTGGAACGTTACAACTGGAGTTTCCATTATCAGCAAACTGCCATGTTATCACAACACCCCTGGAGCAATTGTCTGAAAATCATTATGTAACCTTATCACAATAGCTCAACGAACACCCAGTGGGCTGTAAAAGGTGTTTGTAATCACGGCGTCCTTGTTGTCTCTGTCACAGCAGTGAATCGGTAGTTGCCACAGCAACCCTCTGTTTCTAGTTATTGGAAATGTGTCAGCCAGTCCAGCTTGAAGTAGCTGCAGTTGGCATTGTTTAGCTAAAACTGATAAACCTATAGCTGTGTATGCTGAATTCATAGCTGAGTTCTTTTCCCAGAAGGTTCTAAAGTGGATAGATTGGGTTTGTATGAAGTGTCGATTTTTTGGCCCCGTTAAAGCCTCAAAACGCATCCAATGCTCAAAATCAAATGTGTTTATCAGCCCCACAGAGCAGTGTATGGTTTTGCACTGGCTGTTTATGGCTACTCAAACTGCTGCTGAATTCTTTCCCACAGCGGTCCAATGCGTGCATACATTTTAGCAAGAGAGGATGCCATACGTCACTGGAGAGAACTGATGGGGCCCACCAAAGTGTTCAGGGCCAGATACACCTCCCCTTCCTCCATCAGGGCTCGGTTTGGACTCACAGACACAAGAAACACAACTCACGGCTCAGGTAGGAGTCGCGACTTGTCGGTGCTTCATATCTGCCCTACACTCCATGCATTATCACACAGGCTGTGAATCACATACTGCAGTTTCACTAGGTTTAGTTGTGGCAATAAATTGCTTTAACAGTGTAATCATTGGACACAAATAGCAACACGTTTCAACTTGATTTAACTTGATCCTTGCATTGAACAAATACTGTATTTCAATAGTGGATTAGGAAATGTATTAATATTTGCATGAAATTACTAAATTTCCACTCAATTATTCATTTTACATTGTATTCAGGAGGAGATTGTTTTTAAGCCCAAAGGATAGAAATTACAGCAATGCAAAATCTCTTGGAAGTCCATTATATTAAGGTGGCATTTACAGATCACTTCACGTTCTGAAAGTGCACTACATTTATCCTTTGCCATCTTATTTTTTTATGTTCAGTGCATCGATAAGTGAGTGTGTTTTTAAAATGATCAGATTTTACCTTTTCCCCAGATTCTGTGGAGTCAGCACAAAGAGAAATCAGTTTTTTCTTCCCAGACTTCTGTGTGGAAGAGTGGATGGAGAAAGAAGAACCATCGTTCAGATCGGGACAGATACATTACGACCATCAAAAACAAATCCACACACTCTCAGCACAGAACTGACCGCACAACTGCTGTCACAGTTACTGAGCAACAACATGAGGTCAAGGACACACGCAGAAGTGTTTCTGCTACTGTTTAACCATTGTTCATATTAAAATGCAAGCTACCAGAGCTTATGTGACCTATAATAATTTATACCGTGTTTGTTGTTCATCTCTGCTCCTCAAAGTGCCAATGTGTTCACTTCCATTTTTGCATTATTAAAGTGGATTTTCTTTCTATGCAGTAAATGCTTTTGCCTGATTTACTGTTATTAGAAAACACATATGACCAGAGAAGTAAGACACTGTATTCTGCAAATCAACATGATGTAGTAAGACAGTAAATACATTATTGTCACAAACTCACACCCAGGCTTCATTGTAAATAGTGCAGTAACCACAATGGGTTCCCCTTTCCTGAGCCATACAGATTGTAGCACAGCAGCAACTATGTATTGTGTATCAGTGTAACAAAACTATAACATAATTATACCTTGTGAATATTCAGTAATGTAAAATATCAATGTAATTATAGATTAACACATATTTGTCTTTAAGGGCATAATTTGGGTTCACTCATTTCTAAATTAAAGTCCACTTAAAAATTTGAAATGTGCAATGAAATGATTTCCTCTGCATGAAACTGACCGTTGTGATATACTAAGAATTGTTACTGTAAAATGTAGTTTTGTATTTTCTGTGACCAGTCTACAGTCTTACATGTCAAAGTACAGTCAAACATTGTAACAGGGACTGAAAATCTACTTTACAGTAATAAATACAACATGTTTTTAAAGAAAATGATCCATGTTTTTAATATGACAATCTAAATTTAGGTGGTTAAAGTCTCACAAAATCACACATCCTTGTGTCAACTATCAGAGGTTTTGTACACAAAAACAGGTTCAGTTCATTTCACCGTCATCATTTTTCTTTCTTTTACTTCTTCCAAACTCTCCTGCACTCAAGTATTTTGTGTGGCCACCTGTTTGAAAGCTTCCACAGGATTCATAACCTCGTAAGTTGTGAGCGATTTCTTCACCTTCCCATTCTTGTCCACCTGATGGATGCTCTGTGTCACTGTGATGGTCACCTGCTTGGTCGACATCCGTTTGTCCTGCCATTTTGTCTGATAATGGTGAAGAATAAATAAGGGGATGCTGTAAACATACTACCCATACTACTTCTTATCATGTATCAGAAAGAAAAGCATCAAAATGATCACATTTGAGAAGCTGGAACCAGCAGATATTTAACATTTTTGCTTAAGAAATTAAACCAGAGATTATCCAGTTATTAAAATAGCTGCTGTCTACTATTTTGTCAACAGACTAATCAGTTATTTGACTTGTGGTTTCAGCTCTAAATGTAATATATGAACAGGACATAATGAAAACAAGATGATAGTTGGTTTCTCTAGACCTTTTATCTACAAGTAGATAAATGGTATGTCAATAAATTAATATAAAAGAAAAAAAACAAGCATTGAAAACCATCCAGGGAGAAACTTACAATCTCTTCAGTGTGTAGAATGCTCCGGCGCTGCACTGTGGTGCCAGATGAAGGTAACACCTCCTCCTTGGGTGGAGAGGCCAGTATTTCAGGGGGGCTGCTGGGCTTCACGTCGTTCAGACTGGCTTCAGACACAGCCGAGCAGACCTTCAGGTACGCCTGAGCAGGAGGAGGGAGGCTGTCTTCGAAGAAGTCAGGAACTGTAACAAAGCCAAAACTCGGGTTTGTCCTGAGGAACAACTACACCGCTCAAACAATCAAGACTGAATTCACTCAATCAGTCAACCCCAATCAAATTGCTCACTCATAATGTTTGCTATTACTACCACTAATAATAATAATGTTGACAGTATGAGGAACCATTTCAGAGGTCATTTCCTAATTCTAAAAGTTGGAGTCTGTAGTAATTTAGGAGCTGAAACTGCCATTATTGGACATACAGTTGTCAGGTTTGCTCGGCCGCTCTGGCCTCCCTCACCTTTCCTACTGTCTCTTGCCCATTTACACTAATCACGTTCACCTGTTCCTCACTCCCTTATCACCAGCTGCACTTGATTAGGTTGCTCACTATATTACCCGGTTTCACTCCTCAGTCACTTGCCAGTTTGTTCTAGTCTCTAGGCCAACTTTACTCCGTGCGTTTTCAACAGCTACTGTTTTTGTGT